TAGTCAGCTATGCCTAGACACCGAATTCGCTGATCGGAAAACGGCTTGGGGGGATGAAAGTATATAGTCTAAAGTACAAAAAAACGTGAAAAAAAAAAGATCGGGAATACCCCCTTAAACGAAAAAAAAAATGTCATTCCGAATTTGAGAACACATTTTCTTGTTCACTAGAAACGTCTGTTTCATATGTTTCTTCCATCTCTAATTTTTCCAGCCGATCTTCGCTTTCTCGGATGAGATCCTCTGGGAGTAACATTTGAAATGTTTCTGTCGTCAATGCCTTTGACTTTTTTTTGCGGGATTTTTCTTAATCCTAAAAGAATATTTATTTACTTTCACGTATGATAATCATAACGTTGTTTGCCTGTGATTTCAGGATCAGAACTAAGCAGCAGTCTATTCAGTACATCCATGTTGCAAGCCTGTCTTGAGAACTTTCTGGAAAAATTTTGGCGGTATAATCTTAAATATTTGTTTCTCGATTCTATAGCTTCTTCTGACAGCTGCCCTATTGGTAGCAGTGCATGTTCTATAACAATGGTACTGTGGATTAAAATTTTATGCAGAGTTGGAGTCATTGGATACCACGGATACAGTCGAACGTATATCTCCGCTGTTTCTTGAGTAAATTTTCCAAATTTTTTCGTATCAATTTTAAAACCCGGTAGATCAAATTAAAATCAACACCTGTTATTTGAGCAGCGGTTTCCGGATCAGCAAAGAATCTTCGACTAGTGTTGCCATCATTCGAATTTCCAAAGCCTGGTTTTGGAAAATCCACAAGGAGTCCCAATGTCTGTCTGAAGTTTTCTTGAATGTGCTCTTTTCTTTCTTTGACGATTTCCTTTTCATTGCCAGTTAATCGCCATTTTTTGATCGGCAACTTGTAAGAAACATGTAAAATTGTCTCAAAAATACGAATCCTGGCATGAAGAATAGAGAATCCGAATTTAAGCGAATTTGTGTTGATTTCCTTTTTAACGCCAAGATTATTGAATTCCTTTGAACTTGCGCCACATAGGGGAATTTACGTATTCTCGTCAATCTAAGCAGCTTCCGCACTTCTATAAGCATTTTCTCAGTGTCACGACCACATATGACGTGTCTGTTTGTTTACATTCATCTGCTGCTAGCTATTCTATCCATTCCAATCAACAAAACTGTCCAAAACGGTTTGAAAACGTTTTTAACGCGCTCCAAACTTCTCAGGTGAGTGTGACTATTGTCGGCAGCCTCTTTTACTTCGGCAACCTTTCCGTTTAAACTGCGTGTTAACCAGCTGTTCTATTATCGGCAACTCGAAATCAGCCGTATTTTGATGTGCTTATGTTTCTTTTGAAGAAACACCTAGCATAACAGGTTTGCTCAGTCGTAAAAATGTATTAGGATTGAAGCTGAAAGACTAAGGAATCGTTTAAATACATTCAGCGAAGTATTTTAGTGAGAAAATACATCGAAATTAACGTTTAAATTGTGGTTGCCGAAAACAGTCGATGGCTGCCGAAGCCATCATTTACCCTATATAACATTTCATTGTTGATGTTGTTTCAGTTGCAGCATAACACACTTTCCCATCAACCATAGTGAGCATAAAAGTATGTCTAATAGTGAACTGCTTGCCATTTAATGCAACGTTTGTCGGACGTAGCGAATTAATTGCTTTTTCAATATATCTGATCTCTTCATTAATTACCTCAGATGATTCCTTGATAAACCTAATGCGGATTGGGCGACAGTAACGAGGTGAAGATGGAGTTGGGTTTTGCCAAACTATTTTTGCATTGGATCCACAAACTATTCTTAACGGTACAAACGAACTTTGGAACATACTCTTATCCTGGGACCTCGTATCAGAATCCATATCGTTTTCAAATTTTTGTTTGTATTGAGCTTGGTGTGACCCATCACATCCCCATTTGCAAATAAGAACAAGTGATCCACGTTCTTGTTCATCTAACGGTTCCAAAACTTCGTCCAAATATCGAAAGATGCGACTTGTAGTGAGATCCAGGTTGCTTTGTAATGTAATTTCTGCGTCTAATTATGCAGAAAAGGAAAACAAAAATTTCATATAATAAAACAAGATAGGGTAAATGTCGGCTTCGGCACTCATTGACTGTTTTCGGCAACCAAAATTTAAACGTTAATTTCACTATGTTTTCCCATCAACACACTTCCCTGAATGCATCCAAACGATTCTTTAGTCTTTCAGCTTCAATCTGATTGTATGTGTACGTCTGAGCAGTCCTGTTATGGCAGATTTTTATTCAAATGAAGCATACGTACTCTAAAATGGGGTTGATTTCAAGTTGCCGATAATAGAACAGCTGGTTAACACGCAGTTCTAATGGGAAGGTTGCCGAAGAAAACGAGGCTGCCGACAATAGTCACACTCACCTGAGAAGTTTGGAGCGTTGTAAAAACGCTTTCAAACAGTTTTGAAGAATTCTGTCGATTAAAATGGATAGAGAAGCAAGCAGCAGATGAATGTAAACCAACAGACACGTCATATATCCGGAGTGATTTAAGATTTGGGCGTAATTGCATTTGTAAACAAACACGTCAATCACCGATTTCTCACAAATAAAAGCTCAAACTCGAAAAGTAATAATACTATGAGGAAGAGGAATGATTCCTCTATCATTTGGTATAGTTTGTTTGTGAGATTAAGCTTTTATTCAAGAGAAATCAGTGATTGACGTGTTTGTTTACAAAAGCATTTACGCCCAAATCTCAGATCACTCCGGATATGTGCGTGACGCTGAGAAAATGCTAATAGAAGTGTGGACACTGCTTAGATTGACGAGAATACGTAAATTCCCCTATACCAACAAACTCACCTGTTTCAGTGACAGTATATTCTTCTTTTGCTGGGTAGCATTCACGTTTTGCTTTTTGGATCAAACTGTAGCATGGATACAAAGTTTTATTGGTGTTACGAATAATTTCATATTGTTTGCGTGTAAGATCAGCCTCGACAAACATGGCTAGAGCTTGGAGTGGAGATAACCGATTTGCAGCTTTTTTCGGATTCCTGTAAAATGCTTGCCTGTATTTGGTAGCCCGCTTAGGTGAAGCCATAATATCTCCTAAAACTTTAGAAGCATCTTTCTTTTCAGATGAGTATAACGCTATACGAGTAGCGTAGCTCAGTTCAGCAGGACTAACGGTTCTTCTCAAACCTTCTGTTTTTCTTCTTTTACAGCGTTCACTTGATTCATCGAAAGATATTTGAGGACGACCGGGTCGTTTCAGTGGTCGTGGAATCTCAAATGTACCTTGTAACCAATCATTGTTATCATGCAGGAACTTATCGACCTTCCTGGAAGCAGACATCCATCTTTGCTTGAATTGTGTTTTCAATTTTACAATCTTTAGCGTCAATGCGCGTCTTTCTTCTTCCGAATAATCATAAAAATTCAATAGATAGTTCTCTATATATATCAATTTCGAATTAAAATCCAGCTCCTGTCCTTGCATTTTGTCAAACAAGTGGCGACGAGAAAACATGTTTATACCAGATGAGCCTACGATAATGATGCAAATAATTAACTTGGAACATATTGATTTTTATTTTATAATGGATGATTTCTGGTTTATTTTAGGCTCATGCACCATTTCACTTGAACATGTGACAAGAAGGAACCATAATACCCTTTATCTGGTTCTTGTTGAATCCAATTCGATCCAGTGGTTGCTGAGAAGCACGTTGCCAAAAATTGTGACACACACACACACACACACACACACACACACACACACACACACACACACACACACACACACACACACACACACACACACACACACACACACACACACACACACACAAACACACAAACGCGTGCGCACCTGGTGCAAATATGAAACAAGAAAGAACTTGCTTAAAAATATACCTGAAAGGCAGCCCATGACCCCCCCGTCCCCCCGCCCCTCCCTCTCACAAAACAAGGCCTTGACCGTCTAGGTTACCGCCATACAATGAATGAAAATGTCGATAACTGCATTTGTGTCCATTTTTGATAAATTTACCTATATGGACACGTCATCTTCATTTTCCAATTTCTCGAAAGATCGCAAATAATCGCAGCTAAATTTTTGCTATAATCTACTATACACATGTACATATAATGCCTCATATACGACTTCACAGGATACTACAGGATAAGCCAACTTTTTTATCACAATATATTTATTTTATAGTTTAAATAACACTTAAAGACAAGATTTTCATAAACTGCTTCTACGAAGTCAACACTAATAGAAATAAGCTGATGTCATGTGGAATGAATATTCCAATACCTGCTTGATCACTATCCATTTTTGCAAATTAATATGATTATCCCAACAACAAGTAGAGACACGAAAACAATGGCACTGTGGAACGATTTTTTCTAACAAGTTTGAACTGATGCCACAACGCGGTCAGTTTAGAAAGAGAAATAATGAGTACAGGGCATTGTTACCCTACTTCTGAAGTATACAATGCATGCATTCAGAATTTGTTTTGGCTTATTTTGAGAAATCGACTTTTGGCCAGCTAGCGTAGAACAAATACCCCTCCGTGCGCCGATTCGTGCTGAGTTTGAAACGTGAAACAAAGCTAAAATGAGTTTAAAAACTTCCAAATGGTCACAAAAATACTGAATTCGTATTTAATAATTGTAAATAATTAAATTAAATGAAGACCACCCTAATCAATATTTTCATAAAATGAGGAACCGTTTAATTATAAATAACTTCTACAAATACACCAGCACCATGAAATGAACATAGACGGAGTAAATATTTGTTTCCGCTAATTTGCCGTTTCGGACCACAGTGCATTGTGCATTGCGCTAGATCTGAAAAATTCTGAACAAGATTTCATAAAATTAAGTGATGTACTAGCCTACTGTAGTCTGCCGTGGTTGATCAGTTTACTATTAGATTCCATTTGATCTTATTCCACAAATTTATTACATGAACTAAATTTAATCCAGTTCTTTTCTCTCTTCCAGAACACGTCGACAGCGAAGAGGCGAAGAACCTTTTCGAAGCCAACTACAGCCATGTGTACTACATCCTGTACGACACGTTCGTCCAAGCCGAGACTAACCTACGCCAGCGAGGTAAGAAATCAGATACCCATGATTCTCAAAACCCCTCCCATACCAAATCTTCACCAAACGTGTAGCCCCCCCTAGTAGTACAATCAGCTTTCAATGTCAAGTCCAGTGAGCGCCCACACTCGATGTAGACCGAAAATATCGGTGTCATAACTAAGCTACCACCACCCACTCTCCATAACAACCTCAACCATCACCGTTCGACTGAAGTTTGACTTCTTAGAAACAACCGATCACACATTTCACACATCCTAATACTTCAGCTTCAGCACTGAAAGGTGACGGTCGTTGTGATGGTAAACAGAAAATCAATTACGTCTTTCTACTCTTTCCTTCCCGTCGTTGCTGTGTTGCTCACGCTGTTGCTAATTGCTGGGGATCTCTTGCTTTGACTAAATTGATATTGGTGACGAATGGATGATCAATCGTAAATTTTGATTCACACCTTTTCGCTGATTTTTCCACCTCATTACTATGCACAACAGAACTGTCGTTCCATATCGGTAAGTGTGTGCAGAATGTTTGAATTCGATTTCAGTTTATTCTTGGTTTTCCGAATCCAATTTTGATTTGCCGATTGTTTTGCAATTTTTGCCGTTTGACACATCTCTCATGATTGCACAATTTTACCATGTTTCATCAGAAAATCTCACGAATCAGTTGGAAGCTTAATTTTTGAATGCGTTTGAAAGCGACATCTATGATCGAGCAACTCGGTTCTTCTTGCATGCAAACTTGTACGGAAGTGACTCACCGCGAATATGAATTGCTTTTTACACTTTTAATTGGCCCGGCTTTGAGCATGTAATCTAAAGTTGATATGTATCATTTAACAATATAATCCGCACTGTTCCGTTAAGCTGGCGAACTGACTTCATGGTGATGAGAGCGCCTCTTGTGGCAAAAACGCTACTAATGCATTTATTCACCTACACGAGGGGTGAACTCAGTATTAATTTGCGAATTCGTTTTAAATGATCGTGTCGTGGTTTCTGTTCAGTGTCAACTAGGACAAGCCTTACTAATTTTTATGTGAAAAATGGCAATGCAATTAAGAGACACATTGTATTCTCTATTCGTGTAATAGAATATTTTCATCGCACCCCTCGATTGTAGTTAAATTTTTGTTATTTACCTTTTTCGACACTAGGTGGCGTAATAAGCAGTATTTTTTGGGTCGCCATTGAGATATTTGGAAGCGGTAAGAGTGGGTTATATTGTTAATATAATATATTTGCTAACACAGCACTACCTTCCCTGATCATTGCATTCACTGCATGCCACAACTTGACGCCCTCAAAAGCAAAATGATCACTGAATTTCCAACACTCCTGCAAACCATTTTGCTTTTGAGGAAACGGTCCTTAAAACTACTTCTCACCCAAACGTCCATCTCTCCCAGTTCACAAAACCCATCGCGAAGAACTGGACGGGTCGCTGTGGTTGCTGAGTAAGATCCTGACCCTGCTGCCGGAGCTGATCGCCCGTCGCTGGCAGGTCCACTCGCTGGGTCGCATCCTAGCCAAACTGCTCCACTATGGCAACAGTGTCAAGCTGCGCCGGGAGGGTGTCCGATACTTTCTCCTATGGTATCAAGCCCTCGGTGACAATGCTCCGCCCTTTGTCGACGGAATGTTCACCGAACTGGTCCCCGGGTTGACCGTTCCCCAGAAAGGCAAAGCAGGCCCTACGCTGTCCGACTCGGAATACGTTGCCACCAACGATATCCTGAACCATCCTAACATGAAAGGCGAACTCGGCGGGTCGGTATTCCACGACACCGGAGCTCATCCGGTCAAGTCGCCGGAGATTCAACCGCTGATCCCTCCCAGCTCCAGCGAACGTACGGCAGCTCCCGACCCGAGGGATGGTCTGGAAATCCTACTGGACTGCATGGTCCAGTCCAGCGGATGTCTGAAGTGGCGAGACAACAACCCCCAGAAGCACGTCCGCACCCTGAATTTCCTACTGACCAAGTTCCGGGAACAGTACCTTCCAGTATTCTGCCCCAACTTCGACTACTCCACTTCGATCTACGAACCCAAACTGGACCTACCGGCGATGCGAAACATCTCCAAGCGAGAAGAAGTGATGAGTTCATGCATCGTAGTCCTGGTCATCTGGATCGCCAAGTACACCCACGAAAGGCACGCCAGTTCCAAGCTGGACAACCTGCAAATCGACGAAGAAGTCGTTGGAGAAAACGCTTCACTCCTGTCCAACCTCCGTCACATGGGCTACACCCAGACGCAGTTGGTTCGGGACGTTCTGTACTCCAGCCGGGAGACAATCAACTTCGTACACGAGATCTACCGGCAGGCATTCCTGATGTCCTTTACCTCCAAGAGTCAGATTGAAGCCATGCGGATTGCAATTTCCGTCTATCGGGATTGGATGAGCACGATTCCGCCTCCGCCGTTCCTGCTGGAACCGGACACTAGCGAATCGTCACTCTCCGGAAGCGCGCTGGACGTTCAGCAGCCGGGTGCGAGGCCAACCAGTCAACGGCTCCGGACCGATTCCTATCTGGGGGCGATCTCCAAGGAAAACGTGATGATCCGAGCCGGATTGCAGAACGTCCTGCAAGTGTTCGTAACGAATGCGGTCAACGTGTTTATGGTAAACACGGCTCATTTGAACATCCATTTCCAATCGAAGACCAACAGCGATGGGTTCGCAACGCCCTTGGACGAGCAGACAGACATCTGCAAGCGAGTGTTGAACATCTACCGAACAATGGTCATGAAAACGCGGATGGAGGCGAAAACGTGGGAACAACTACTATTGGTACTGCTGCAGGTAAGTTCCTTCACTCTGAACAAAAATCATTTCAGCATTCAACACTGGACTTTTTCCTTCTAGGTAACTTCCGTCATCCTTCAGAATTCCCAGCCGAACGCCAAGAAGAACAATCTAGGCGGTCGACTTGCTCAACCCATCTTCCAAACCCTCATCGTCACCTGGATCCGCGCCCACACGAACGTCGTCGTAAACCCCGGCCTTTGGGATAAATTTCTCAAAGTACTATCTTCGCTAACTCACCGGGAAGAATTGATCGTCGAGTGGGACAAAACCATGCAAACTCTGACGCGGGTCCTAGCTCGGCAGGTTTACAACATAAACCTCTCGGATCTTCCGTTGGATCGACTGGCCGAACAGAAGGGTAAACGAAAGCGCGGAACGCCTTCCAACTGGACCCAGAACTCGACGATCAGTCAGGGTGACAAGCCGGACAACATCATCGCGCAGTGCATCAATAATGGAAAATCGTCCGCCGATGAAGCGGCAGGGGAAGATGCTAGAGTTCATGGACCGGGTCACGCGGTTAGATCCATCCCGGGAACGCCTTCCCTCAATCGAAGCTACAGCGAAGGTAGCTTGGCTCCATTCCGGAAATCCCGCAATCGTCGAAGAATCCGCAATAAACATCAAGTGCAGAATTCGCACCAGCACGTATCCGCCCTCCCGATGGCAGTCGAACACTCGTTGAACCGCATGATTTCGAACGTTTCCGGCGGAGGGTTAAGTATCAGCAATGAGAACCTCGATCTTTCCAGGTTTTCGCAATGCGACGAATCGCTTGTAATGGGCGTTCCTACTCTGCGGAGAGCTCTGTCCTTGGATTCGATCCGACCTTCACCGGGGAAGAACAGGGGAAACGACACCGATAGCTACAGATGTGGATCGCGCAGCCCATCACCTACGGCATCTAGCGGAATTGAAAGTGGCTCAATCAAGGATTCACCGATGCAGATTGACGTGCTCACTGCTGATAGCTCCAGTATCGATACGCAAGACGAAAACAGTTCTTTATCGGCTGACAGAAGATCGATCCTGGCCGGCGGAACGGCTCGCGGTTGGCTACCGGATGTTGCGGCGGTTATGTGGAGAAGAATGCTCGGTGCTTTGGGCGATGTCAACAAGATCCTGAACCCGAAGTTGCATGCGCAAGTTTTCCAATACCTGGTTAACATGACGGAAAGCTTGATAAAAATCCGGATGAATCAAGGAATCTCACCGGATGGCCAACCGATTCCTATGCCGTTGAATCTCGTTCCGCCAATCGCTCTGGTAGCTCCCTGGTGCTACGGAGCACTTACACTAGATGGCCAATACAGTCAGGGGAAGCTCTACGCTATGCAGTTGCTTTGCACGATCGTCAAAAGTGGAGCTTCGCTAGGAAATAACCAACTTCCGTTGTTCTATCACGCTCTTCATCAAGCCCTCTCCGGAGAGGATCGTGCAATGGCATACACCGCGCTAAGATATCTCGGTGGACCTAGATTCCTTAGTTTGCTCCTTCCCGGCCACAGTCTCCTGCTTCTTGATTTAGTACATGCCTCAACCATTGTCCTGACATCTTCCGAAACTGGATCACATGCTCCCAGAGCACACGTTGCTGGTCTTCTCGGTTCCCTTCTCTGTTTTCCCAAAACCTCCCTGCCCGGGCCGGTCCTACAACCTTCCGAACCCAATATCGACCTTATGGAATGTCCGGATCTCCAGGAGCACGTTCTGAACATAGTGCTCCGCTGTGCTCGTCGTGAACCCACAGCCAAAGCACGATCAATCGCCATTTCATCTCTCGGTCAGTGGGTCCTTCAAAACCTCACCAATCCGTCCGCCTCACAACCGCAAGCAGCCACTGCCGAGCCTACTTTCAAGCAGCGCATCCCTCTGCACCATTCCAGCGCAGCTTCCCATTGCGTTCGCGAAGAGCTGCCCATCAATCCACGTATCCGCGAAGCCTTTCAAGTGATCCTGCAAGCACTTCAGTTCAAACACCGAACCATAGCACGACTCGCGTCGGACACTCTGAAGCTTTGCGCCGAACAGGGTCATCGAATCGAACGAATAGATCGTCTGCCCCAGCTCATCATCGACACCATCTGTCTGTCTCTCGAAATCCAGAACGTTCCTCACCCCAAAGAATCCGACAAAACCGTACTGACATCGTTGCTCCTGACGCTCGGCGAATTCTGCATGTCCTTCTCGGTGGAAACCCTTCAACGACCGAAGAGTTCCGAATCTGACGAAGCGCTGATCCAGGTGGTGTTCAAAGTCCTGCACAAGATCGCTATGGGCATCCACAACGGTGAACGGATCAAGCTGTTCACGACGGACGAAGACTTCGATATGACCATTACCGTAGACGACGTACGGGAGCAGAGCTCACCGATGGAACCCACTTACCAGACGTCCGAGTCGATCGCCAACTGCCAATCGGCGATTCGGCTCTGTGCCAAAACCGTGGCAATGCATTTAATCACCAATTTGGGTCACTTCCCAATGGGCATCGGAGCAACCAGACTCAGTTCACTGGTTGATGAACAGGACGATTTGACAGGCGGCAGTACGACTACGCTGCAGCGAGAGAACTCCGTTGTGAGTAATCGCGATTCTTTGGAGTTGGGAGCCTCTCAAGTGTTGGTTTCGCCAAATTTGCAACTGCTGATGCTGAGTCCGGAGCTAGTGGCCAGCTTTATTGAGTTATCTGCGCTCAAATTACCTGGAGGCGGAGCCACCGCTGGGCTTATCACCGCAAACAGACAGGTTCGATTGTTGCTCCGAGATTTGAATGGTAAAGCATGTTGGGATGCATCGATCTTGTACAAAGAGCCAAGTCCAACGGGCGAAGATACCAGCAGACAGCTGAAAGACAATTCGCCATCTGATGAAAAGCATAACTCTACATTCCAATTCCGAAGTGGTGGCAACGGATCGTCGCGGATGTTCGCCGGTGCTGCCGCTTCCCTTGATCCCATGATGTCTACCGTGGGCCTTCCGATGGCTCCTCTGCGACATACTCTCAGACATCGACCTGTTCATCAGTTACCCGTCGCCAAGGACTTGGCTCCCGACTTGGACCAACTGGACGACCTTCTGCAATACATCGGCTATACGAGTCCCGAGTGTCTGGACGTAAATGGTTCCTTATTGAATACGGCTGGTCCGTCACCTCTGGGTCCCCCCCTGGAAGCACAAACTATTTCCATAATCCTGAATCAACGAGCTATCGAAACCGAGTACATCGCTCGGCAAAATGCTGCGGTTGGTAATTTCGGAGAATCTCCGGCCTACAGCTTCGGTGGTTCCGTCGGTTACACGTCCTTCATTGATGACAATGCTCCGCCGGCTGCTGTGGGATCCAGCGGAACACTTGTGACCAACAGGTTCAACGCTTTCCAGTCCGGAAGCGACCGAACAGGCACGTCAACCGGCGGCAGCTCCCATCTCGATACGAAACCATTCCAGTTCGGGCGGATCCTGTTCAGTCAACTTGGCTTGGCCGGCTGGGAACGTCGGAAGCGAACGCATCTGCTGCAGCGTACTGATAAGCTGCTTCGGGAGCTACGCAATTTGGACAACCAAAAATGTCGCGAAACGCACAAAATGGCTGTGATCTACGTCGCCAACGGACAGGAGGATAAGAACAGTATTCTGCGCAATTCCTGCGGTAGTAGTACTTATGAGATGTTTGTCTCGGCTCTGGGCTGGGAAGTGGAACTGGAGTCACACAATGGGTTCCTGGGTGGACTACCGCGGCAGGGTTGTGGTCAAACGGCTCCGTACTATGCGACGCCCTTCCTGGAGGTGATCTTTCACGTATCGACCCGGATGCCAACTGATACTCCGGAGACAATTTTAAACAAGACCCGGCACTTGGGCAATGACGAGGTGCATATTGTTTGGAGTGAGCATAACCGAGACTACCGGAGGGACATCCTGCCGACGGAGTTCTGTGATGTGCTGATCGTGATCTATCCGTTGAAGAGCGGTCTGTTCAGGGTGACGGTCAGCAAGAAGCCGGATGTTTCGTGGTTTGGCCCGCTGTCCGACGAGGTGGTAGTAGGAGGATCGTGCCTAGCCAGCTTGGTGCGGGCTTCGGCGATCAACGCGAGCCGTGCGAAGAGGACCGCGCTGTCACTGTATCAGCAGTAGTAAGTTTGATGACGGAAGATTTTTTGGAAGTTGTGATGGATTTGTTTGTTTGTTTTTTTTTAGTTATGAGGAGCGTAACCGCTCTCTGGAAACGGTAGCGGGGCGTCACAAGGAGAACAACACCTTCGAGGACTTTACGGCGAGGATATTCAGTCCGATACCATCGCAGGGCACGGTTACCGGCGGGATGATCATCGGTGGTGGATCGACGACTGGTAGCGCTCCGCTGGCGGCGGCTCTTATCGATCATCACAGCCGGACGATGTCGAAGAGTAAGTAGAGAGCTGCATGGTGTTTGGGAATGGGAATAAGTTTTTTTTTCGGAGGTGACTGGAAGTTAGTGGGTGGTAAGTGTGGATTTCTAGAGAAGGTTGTCCTATACATTTTCCGCAGATCCTTGCCTAGGATTCTGTAAGTCGTAACACACTCGAACTCGGTTCTTTGGAATCCTGGAGGATTCTAACGAACTTCTTGGGTATACTGAAAATTTTTCAAGGCAAATAATCTCAGAGGATTATCTAGTGTAGTTGGTCATCTACGAATTCAAGATAACGACTTCCGGTCTCTGAAAATGTGTCAAATATCCTACAATATGAAGGGTCGAAAATGGATGGCCAACGTCACTCTGGACTCCTTTGCCTAGATTTTTTCTGAAGTACTCTGACCTTATTTTTGTAGATAAGCGGCTGTTTAGAGTGCCTCCCCTTGCGCGGACAATCGTTCGGACAATTGTTTTCTGAAATTCGTATGGACCGTAGACCAGAGCATTAATGATTAGGTTCCTCAATGAATAATTAATTTGCCTATGCTTAAAATTTGATATTCTATGATTAATGAATATTATTCCATGTTTTTTTCGACGCACCATTTCAGGCTGCAAAAAGCTCTCTCCTTTTACTATTTTACATAAAATGACGCGAGCTTTTTGAAATCTGAAATGATGCGTCGATGAAAACTGAGGGGATTAAAAGGAAAGGGGTGTAAGTGACTTTGATCGATTCTCTTCACCGACTTTCTCTTTCGTTAATAATTCAGCTGCAAACACATTTCTTGATTCGCGTAATAAGAACCTCCTTCATCAAACTATGTGGCAGAAATAGCACAGCTTTATAAACAGAGCTGTGACTATCAAAAGAGAAAGTCGATGAAGAGAATCGATCAAAGTCACTTACACCCTTTCCTTCTAACCCCCTCAACTGGGATTGAATTTTTCGAAAATGCAGCAAAGTAAATTGTACCTTAATGAATATGATTAATGATTAAAAACTATTCTGGAATTTTTGGGTTTCGGGACAAAAGGTCAAAAGGGAAAAAGGACAAAAGATCGATAGATAAAAGTTCGAAGGAAAAAAGGTTTTCGCCAAAACCAACGTTGGTCAAAAGTTTGGTCGAAAGTAAGAAAGTTCGAAAAGCTAAAAGCTGATGTATATATTCAGCCATTCCATGGAAATGGTCACCCTAATGACAAAATAAAAAAATATATATGGCTCAAATATGTTGCGATAAGGAACAAAACTACCAATTTCTGAGAACCACTACATATATCGTTTTGCTATGGAATGGCTGCTTATTCTGAATCTGATTTTCAATGCCATCAATCAAATTCTCAAAAATGAAATATGATTTTATACTGTTTTCCCTTCTTTGAAATCTATTTGTTCTTTAACATTTGGTTTTCAGATGACTTGTCAGAGCTTTAATTTTATACGTCACCCTTCAATCTTATCAAAACAAAACACATATTCTCCCCTTCAACTTCTCAATGCAGCTTGGATCCACCACCCGGAAATGGTAGCCACGGCCCGCGAGGTCACCCAGCAAACGGTCATGGCATCCAGCGGCAGCTCACTGGATCAGCCTTCGCCACGTCCATTGCGAAAACTCCACCACACGTTCAAACCGACCACCACGAAGCAACCCAAGGTGACGGCCGTTACGACGGGGCCCACCGTTGGTGCCGGTGGTTTGCCGCCTCTTGGACTTCACCACTATCCTTCTACGCCTCCGGACAGCCCCACCCTACCCGGTCGCACCAAGTTCAAATGAGACTGGTGGTAGCTCCTGGCCAGTACCAGTAGCAGCGAGGAAGACCTGTACAGTCCGGACAGTTCGGATCACCAGCGGCAGCAGCAGCAACAGCAGCACCATCCCCACCACCATCAGTATCAACCGGTGCGGGGCGCCATGGAAAAGGTGGGTATTTCCGGCTGCTTCTGCGGCAAGTGAATCGCGCGCATTGTAGCTTTAAACACAGAAAGGAAATCAAAAATCAAGTATCAAAACTAAACACACGATTGTGAGATGAATGCGTCCATTTAATTTTACTATTATTACCTTTAGTTCTTTACTATTTAACATTATTGAAACTGATTTTTTTTTGTCCCGTTTATGTTTGATTTTATGACCCATCTTTTAAGTTTCGTTGTATTTAATTTAACCTATATATTTGACGCGTTACAAAGAGAAGTTTATATACCTAACATCCTTTTGGTTAGATGGTAGCTAGCTTAAAGGGGAAACACAATATTCTACGAATAAAGTTCTTGCACACTCCAAAATAATAAAAAAAAGTACTCCACTTTGAAAAGTATTGTAGAGGTTATGTAATGTGTATAAGGTTAAGCCGGAATTTTGATGATCGAAGGGCGGCGGATTCACCCTTTTTCCGTCCCGGATTGTATTCGACGTATTTATTGCTTGAGGCAACTGTTTTCCGTTCTTTTTCCCTCCCTCTGATCGTTATTTATTAATACAATTTAACAAGTGAATGCAACAAAAGCCCACAAACTGACGTTAAACCTTTTCTAATTGAAGTAAATTTAACATAATTAAAACACGTAATTTAGGGTTATTAATATATATGAAAAAAAGAAAACTTATTTAATTGAAAATGAAACAAAGAAACGGTGACTGGAAGATTTACAGCTGTTTAGTAGTAGGTATGAGTATTTTTTGATAGAAATCTTTGACACGGAAGTACGAGCTCGAATGGAGGGTTATTTAAGTAGCCACGTTATGACAAAACAGGAAGGACAGAAGAACTGCAAGTGTTTTTTGCTTTCGTTTTTAGCCCCTCCTCCCCCTGGCGCTGATAGAGGAACAGCAGCAGCTAAAATTCCCTGAGTTATATTTTACAGACTAATCGCGTTCGATGAGAAAAAAAAACTGTTCGATAATTTATTAACATTCAGAAGAGAAGCAAAGAAAAAACATTAACTTAATAAAGAAGCAAGTGATTATGCTGCTAAATCAAATGACCCAGTGCTGTTTTTGTCTTTGTATTTTTGCAGGTCGCATCGAGCATGGAAAGAAAGCCCATTCAAACGATGATGACAATCTGGAGTGAGGTATCACAAGTGTCCTGGAAGGTAAGTGTTGATTTTTGAAACTGAAACCCCTTCATGAGGTTAAGTAGGGTAACAATCCTGTTTTCTTTGGCGCTATTAAGTCCCAACAAAATCTTTACACCAACCTTCAACTTAGTGTTCTTTGAGCACTTCCACAGTCGTTGAGGCTCAAATGTCAATCATTCACGCGTTTACTTGCATTTGTTTGTTTGGTGTTGTCGAGAATATCATCAATCACGAAAAACTAGTACAGCTACTTATACATAGTATTGAAATCGTACTGCTTAATTGGAAAAAGTTATTTCAATATTTAAATCCAACTTTCTAAGCATGAGTTGCTACTCTCTTATTGCCAGATCAGCTGTAATAACATTGAGAACCAATAGACGATGCTTGGGACTAGCAATCATCCTCAATGTGTAAACACTGATGATCTCAAACTAGGCAATACCAGCGCCGGCCGCGCCCGAACACAAGTCAAGAAAGGAATGGGTAGGAATGTGTTGACGTGACACTCGTATTGATGGAAGCCGAGAACACCTCGGCACTTCCACGAGGAATCACTGGGATATTGGGTAAGACGGTTGGGTTTGCAGGGATTGATTGTTCTGCTCAGTAAGCAATAACGGTCGCTCTAAGGCCACCGAACCCCTCATATCACATCATACCGTTACTCGAGTTGTTGTAAACATCCAAACCCAGCACCGACGACGACGAAGTTCCACAAAATACACGATAAACAGGCGATTTGACCATAAATCTCTTTAATATGAATGGTCCTGGGACCTGGGACCACGTTTTTTTGCTCAGTAAGCAAGCCGCTGCAAGCGACGATCTTTCAAATCCGAAAACTAAATGCTACGAAAAAGTACTTAGGCCTTCATTAAGTTCCACTTTCACGCGACGGGAGTCGAGTTTCGAACGCCCTTGGATACGGTTTGTTCTCTGTTTTGTGCGTGCATTCGCTTTCTTAGTTTTTGACTGCATTTGCCGGATTAGCGCTGGCACTCTGCCTCCCGGACGGTTATACGTGTGTGAGTGGTCATTTTCTCGCTTTCCGAGAAGTTATAGAATCGAGAAAGAAAACATGATTCATGATGTTTGCTAGCAACAGAAGATTTGAAGCTATCTGCGTTTGATTTTTTTTTCTCCCGGTCCAGAAATTTGTGGCATCGCGAGTGATAATTTTAATTTTAGTTTATTTACACGGTGATGATGTTGGTTCACTCACAACTATTTTTGAAAAAAATAGTGTTTTCGAACGAAAGTGTACCAAAAGTGCTTCTGAACGTGTTTCGCAGTTGGGTGTGGTGAAATTCGTGCATTCCCGGTTGATTGTCGAATCCGTATCACAAAATTGCCCACCGATTCCTTTACGTTTATTGGATCAGTTTCTTTGCACGGGTGATTTTTTTTTATAACTAGCGTAAGTGTGCCTGCGATTTGCATTGAGTGTCGGAGATTGTGAGTAAGCTGAAGGATGTCTCGCTGGATATGCCCAAGTCTGAACGGGCGGTAGCTGGTGGCCGTGAACGGTTCCTGGGGAAAGCACTAGATGCGACCCTCCTCCCAGATGGCCATGGCAATACAGGAAGTATTACAACAAAGGTAATTGCTATTAGATATTTTGCAAACAGTGACAGATAGCGGACATGAAGAACCATTGGAGGTGCGGACACAATGCTAAGTTACAAATTCGCTGTAATCGTTGTCGTAGGCGCCGTGGTAGTCGTAGGCAGTACCGTTAGTATATTTAAAATTAACCATCAACCACTGAACATATGAATTATCGCGTATTTCTGTTGTTCATTGCATGCCAAGTGAAATTCGAGAACGTAATTTCATTTGAATAGCTTGTTTAACCAGGTCTTAAACAATCGTCACGTCGGTCATAGCTTGTTATGATTGTCTGAACCATGCGTAAAGAGAAAATCGAAACATTGAACGTCGCTTGAAAGTGGATCTTAATGAAGGCCTAAGTACTCTTTCGTAGCTTTTAGTTTTAGGATTTCAAAGATCGTCGGTTGCAGTGGCTTGCTTACTGAGCAGGTCGGTCCCAGGTCCTTTCATATTAAAAATTTATGGTAAGATCACTTGTTTATCGTTATTTTGTAAATCTTTTCGTTGTCGTCGGTGCCGGGTTTGAATAGTTATAAAAACTTGAGTAACGCTATAATGTGATATGAGGGGCTCGGTGGCCTTAGAGCAACCGGTTTTGCTTACTGAGCAGAACATCATGAGCCTAATCTCAAGCCCATCCACATTCAAGATTCGTCAATCGTTTTATTTGTTAACATGACTACATGGTAATAACAGCAACTCGATGATTAAAAAGGAGCTCGTCTGCCTAGTGGCAAACGTTTTTGCTTACTGAGCAGAAGACCGTGGGTTCAATCCCAAGCTCCTTCGCGTTATATGATTGTTAGGACATCAATTCAGCTTATCGTTTACCAAAACGAACCCTGCTGCAAACCCAACCCAACCCTTTTACCCAACATCCCAGTGATTCCTCGTGGAAGTGCAGAGGTGTTCTCGGCTTCCATCAAAGCGAGTGTCACGTCAACACATTCCTACCCCTTCCTTTCTTGAGCTGTGTTCGGGCGCGGCCGGCGCTGGTATTGCCTAGTTTTAGATCATCAGTATTTACACATTGAGGATGACCCTCCAACTCCGTAGCACTTATGAGGGTGTCGCTAAGTCGGTGGCCTCTCGTTAAGTAAGTACTACATCAACATTTCCTTCCCTATCCCTAGTTATGGTAAAGATGGGCGTGGCCGGGAATAGCTGCAGTCATGCTTCTGTTACTCTTGTTTGGATTGGAACCAATGTTTACTCCCCAGCATTATTCCTGAAAGTAGTCTAACTGAGAATTTCAGAAGAGAAGTGATTGTCGCTAGTATCCAATCTACGAAGTATATCATAACAACGCTAACGCTAACGCTAACCAGTATTTACACATTGAGGATGATTGCTAGTCCCAAGCATCGTCTATTGGTTCTCTGTGTAATTACAGCTGGTCTGGCAATAACAGAGTAGCAACCGTGGGCGGTCAATCATGCTCATGCTCATGCATTAAGTTCCACTTTCATGCGACGTTCAATGTTTCGATTTGCTTTTTAAGCATTGTTCAGGCTATCATAACAAGTAATGACCGACGTGACGATTGTTTAAACAATCTATTCAAATGCAATTACTTTTTCGAAAGCAGTCAATAATGTATCCCAAACTGGATGTTTTAAATCCTACTTTCTAAGCAAGATTATCAATTCTTCAATCAATGATATAAATAAAGTGAGAGAATAAGAAAAAGTCCGCCATGTTTCACACATAGAGGTTTTCACGTCTGGTTGTATTGGTCGAGGGGGACGACACATCTAAATCTCAATTCCAGATGCTCAAAAAATCTCACACTAGCGAATAAATCTTCGAAAAATCTTCTTTCATTCCTCGCATCTACTTGCACCGCACATCATCTTTTTGCAGGAAACCTTTAAAATCGTGATAAATCTTCTTTCTATTAACTCAGCGTACGCGCAGCTAGCCACAGCAAAACACAATATTTCCTGCATCGTAGATAGAGTCGTCCCCCTCGGTATTGGTAGGATATATGAGAGCGTGTTAAAGAATATCCGAGAAAAATACATAACAAATCGATGTCAAACTCATTTTGACGGATCTACTTTCCTACATTTTTTAGGTTAGCCAGAGGAAAATAATAAACAACTTTACACGGCGTTGCTCCCGCTAGTGTGCGTGCGTTAAACGTCACTAATCTCTATAGACTGACAGTTACATGTAAGATTTCTCCATAGGAGTAAAGAGTTACAGAGCTCTCGTCAACACCATCTAGAAGTCACGGGTCGTGAAAGAAAGGTGAGAAAGAGAGAACCTATCGATCAGATAAATGTTGGTTATCTCGTGTGATTCGATAATCCAACGAACATTGGAGTTCGTCATTCAGTTGGCAATAGTTACCGCGATTGGTCGTGCATTCACTGCAAGCAGCAAGCATTTTGAAAATGGCCGGAAAGCGTCACTACAATGGCGTCGGTAGGATACGAACCTACGCTCCCATTCTACTGGAAAAATTCTACGTCGTTAAGGAATTCCGCTCCCTTCTAGGTCGAGTGACTGCCACACGATACAGGGTTTTATTACTATGACTGAAAGTGGCCTTGATTCGCGAGGAGTTACCACCACGATCCACTCTAATGAAATTGCAACGGTTTCAATTGATGAAATCTTTCCGAGATTTAATATCCCACCCGTGGAGATATGCTACGACAAAACAAGACCACCATGTCGAAACATCTTTATGAACATCCCGATTGCCGTCAAGCCCATCGTTGAACAACGGCTTAATCTACTCCTTTCAGCATACATAATTGAACGGGTAACGGATGGCTCATCAATGTTACTAAAGGAAAGGATGATATAAGGCTGGTGATCGATCTCAGAGGGCCCAACAGGTACGTTCAAAGGTCACCATGGAGCAAATCCTGATTGATTTGGATGGAGCCCAATGGTTTTCGACTATAGATTTGTCTTATGCGTTATTCCATATTAAGCTGAATGAGAACGGTCGTCACCTTACGAACTTCTGCACGGAGTTTGGTATGTTCCGGTACGGACAATTTTTGGAGGATGTAAGGGAACAAAGAACTATTTGGACGACATTTTGATCTTCGGAAGAACCCTGGATGAGCATGATTAATATCTGAGGGCTGTGTTAGATCGTCTTCATCAGCACAATGTTCGGAACAATACTGATGAGTGCACCTTCCGTAGCGTATCCGTCAAGTTCCTGGGGTATACGCTCACCTCAAATGGCTGGCAAATAAAAGACGATAAATTGAGTGCCATATGAGACTTTCGCCGGGCGGAAACAATTTCGGAAGTGAAGAGTTTCT